TTTATTTTGTCCAAACTAATAGTCATGGAAATAAAAATGCTAGAAAGTTAATTTTCGTGTTCGGTTACATGTGTGAGTCACTGTATAAAAAATCTATAGGATTGAATTTCTTATTTATAAATAATATTTATTCAGATAAAATTTCATAATAATGTAATATAAACTAAAGCGAAAATATTAATTTATTTATGCATCACTTGATACACTTCATAATCCACAATATCAAAATACGTTCGTTCATTAGAGCTCAACAAACCATGTTCGAAGGAGTTTTTTTGGCACCGATTTAAAGAGTCATCAAACAGAACTAAATCATGACCACTTCCAAAAATTGGTCCATAATTTTTATAGCATAAGACACTATTTCCATGTATATGCTTGCTTAGAACTCCATTGGCAGCTTGAGTGTCATCAGAATTAAATTTGAATAAAAAGCTATTTGGAACTGCGTAATTTTTGTTAAGTGAATTCCATTGAAATGGATTATAACCACCAATGATCTTTTCCTCATCTTTTACATGAATGGCAATAAATGTTGGACCTTTATCGTCACACAAACGATGAAAGTCGGTAGACTTAAATCCATCACGACTACCTCGCAATAGTAGCTTCAATTCAATTGATTTATTTTTTTGTTGATTGTTAATCCAGTGAATTATTTTTGAGATTTGATTCTGCGAAAGAACTGAAGAGTTGAGACGTTCTGGGTGTAAGGAAACCTTCTGTTCTTCACTTCCTGGCACCAAATAATGATGTAATAAATCTTTATGTAGTGTTCCTGGTAAAATTTCAGCATAGGGCATTACTTTGTTATAAAAATCAACCGAATTGATATGGAAGAAACGAATCAACGGTAAACAATTTTTAAGTGTAGATTTAAGTTGCTTAAATTCGTTATGCGTCCATTTTTCTGATGGAATTGTTAGATCAATTTCACCAACATCTGCAGCTTGAGAGACTCCCCATTCAAGCACCTTTTCCCAAATGACAATTTCATTCAAATTTAAATCATCACGTTTGAGCAAACAAACTAGAGCTGATTCATGTAGCTTGGTAAAATCGGTTGATTGAAAAACGACAGTAGGATCTTGACATGTAATATCAATACAGAATTTATGAAGCTTGGTAAAAGAGCTATGTTCGAATGCAGTTTGGTTGATCAAGGCAAAACTCTCTTTTAAAGATTCCGAATGGTATTTAAGAAGATAAATTTGGATATATTCAATTAGATCCTCGAGAATCAACTCATCGGCTGCGACTAATAAATCCAAAAGTGTTGAAACATCATGGTTTTGCAAATCAATTTTTCCACTGTAAATATATCTATTTAATGTTAAATCAGGTAGGAAGACTTTTGTTATTACTCTTATTTAATTGTGTGACTTCATTTTTAACATGAAATTACCTTAGCAATGTTTCAAAAACTCGAGGTTCGATATTCGGTTTCTTAAAAACAATCATCTTATTCGGTTCTCGCTTCACCCAAGCATCAGAAAATGCTACCGCGAAATATTGCGACTGCGCCACCAAGATTGCCGAATGGACTGAAAAAGTGCGTTGAGTATTCTGATTTTCACCAACAATAATCGAGATGTCACAATAGTTGGAATTTTCATAGAATTTATCGAGTCTATTTGAGTGTGAAGTCAATAACGATAATAACTCGGGCGCCATTGTTAAATCTTTGTGTTTAATATTAATGTTAACGTTAAGATAAACTACCGCATGTATCAAATATCAATATTTGTGTTAAATCGACCAATCAAATTCGAACACAATATTATCGCGAGTACGTGTTCAGATCACAATCATGATTGCAATAAATGTGCTTCTTGTCAAGAAATTAAGTAATATTTAGAATATCACTATATTCTTCGTTGCAGTCAATAATTACGATGGGTGTTCAATTATCTATATCATGGTCCAACGAAAATAAAGGTATCGAATGATCCTTTTTTGTAAGATTTACCATGTTAAATAGCGATAGGTTTGAAATTATTTATAAAGCAACCTGATTGGACGGACAATTGAATATGGTGTGTCCAGCTTAGTCACATGCTGAAGATTTTGCAGATCATTACTTATATGATGCTAAAATTTTTAAAAAATGCATTATTAAAATTGTATCTTCTCAATAAAAAATATAAATAAAATACGTTACTTGATAGTACTTATCAAAAACAATTAAATGATGTATTTTTTTACATTTAAAGTTCATATAAAAAATCCTTTGCAATTCAAAGTATTTGATGTGACTAAGCTGGGCGCACCATAATAAGTGATTTTGTGTTGAAATCATTCAAAGTGTAAGCGTGATGCTTTTTTGTTTCCAATTTCAGTTAAGTTCTCTAAATAAGATTCAGACCGCTCTTTAGTGTAATCTGGATTAATTGTTTTCAATATTATAGAATAACTAAAAAACGCAACCACAAGTGAATATTCGATAGTATATACGACCTTCGCAAATATATTAATTCCAATATGAAAATTGACTTTGAAAGAAAAATTCAGATAATTCATCCTGGAAATATACAGTACTCACCATATATAACGAGAATGCTGTTTTTCTTTATTGTGCTATGAAAAATTCGCAGATATACAGTTTCACAATTGCGATCAAGTTTACTTAACGTTAAGACTACTTTAGATGGTATGCACCATATACAGTATTTTAGTGAATAGAGAGTGGTGTAGTACAACTTTGAGTATCTGTAGTTATCCGATGCTTGCTTCCAAAGATTTTATTCTTGTATTTCCTAATTTAATCAATAAACGTCGTCGACAATAGCAACAACAATGCATCCTTAAAATTATCTCTTGTTAATTCAACAATTTGAGCATAAAGAAATGCTTTTATGATTTGGGAGTGGTGTCGACAAACATAAGCAACTGCTCTTCAGACATCCACACCAGCCGCAATTACACTCGTACGAGTGCATCTTGACACGAGTGGTGCCAGATTAACTTCTGCCAAAATAGTTCTTCCCGATCATAAGGATAAAATAAACTACAATAATACCGTATATTACCGAGCCAAATGCCCTGGTACGTTACATTCTACCATTGATTATTTTGATTTATACTTGTTCCTTCACCATAATTATTTTCCTCATTTTCATCATTACCATATCGATATTAGTATATCATTCCTTACACTGTACTCCCATTATAGCGTACCTTACTCCTTACACCAACTTGGAATTTGAAAATAAAAGTTGTTATCACGTGAAATTTATGGGTACGATTCAATTTACCAGTCTTTCCATCATACATACCCGGGTAAGTATGACGTGGGATATCTCACTCGGTAAAATACGGTATACAAAAATTTTTACTAAAATGTGTCTTCGAAATATTCGTCTTCCTGAACTTGTTTATTAATCTTTAGCAACATCTGGCTCTTTCTCGAGCGTTTTTCTTTATACATGTACTTCTGAAACGAGATTATAAAAATAAATTACATTTTAATAAATAAATAATTAGCGTTAGGTAATCGAATGATTTGGTTTGGCCTTAATGTTAACGTTGAAGCTGAAATTTCTATAACGATAAATTGAGTAATGTATTTCGAAATGATTATCTACTACTACGGATTCATGATAAACATACCGAGGTTTTTGTCGCTATCATCTAAGATTCATAATTGCTAGGGGATCCCGTAAAATTATATTACATAAGAATTATATTACAATGACCAACTTTCCCGATTCTATATACTCTTTAATAGCTAAAGCGTCGCCCAGCTAATTCAAGTATTGTCGTTTTATTAATTTCGCTGGCGTTACCGTTGCTTGTCAAGGATTTATTATCATTATGAATGAATAAATTCTACAACAAAAGTAACGACAAGTTAATTAATAGACTCAAAAATTAATTAATAAAAAGGAAAAAAAAATAATCTTCATACATTATGAGTAAAGTTCGTTTTCATTTTCTCGTCACCAAAACGATGGTTTTTGAGAGAGAGAGATCGTACCGTCAAGTTCAAATTCAAAAGAAAGGCATTCATAATTTTATATTCCTACAGGAAATATAAAAGAATTAGACAATAAAGATCGATGCTAACTTATATATATTTATCTATTTAGCATACCTTTCCCAAATACTCAACATACTGTTCTATCGGAACTTTCTTTTCATCCGTCTGACTCGTGTCATTTTCTTCTAAATACTCATTTCGCAGTTGAAAGAAATGATTAGCTTTTTCCAACGGACTTAACGATGAATTAAACAGCCACTCCCAATCTTTCAATAATAAAGAAGTTACGATTTGATTTTAGTTAGCCTCATTAATTGTTTTTAACAATGATTAAAAAACCAATCAATCAATTTACTTTTTTTTTGTGATGACGCCTTTGGCAATTCCTTTTTTTTTCTTTCAAGATCCTGTAACTTTGTGTTGAGTGATACCAGTTGGCTTTGTAAGTCGTTAATAATTATTTGCTTCTGGTGATTCTCTTCTATAAGAGACGTTTTGGATTTTTCGAATGACGAAATCATGCTACCCAGTATCTAATTAAATATCCATGGTCAGATAAGTAATTTCAGATCTAAAAAAACAAAAAAAAAATATAAATACGTACCTCCATCTCGTGTCTATTTTCGTTTATTTGTTCTCTTAACAAGGTATTTGATGACACAAGTGATTCTATAATAGAATTCAGCATCTGATTTCAAAAATTTTGAATTTTAATACGTAGATTGTGAAGTTGCATTTGGAATAGATCCAAGAAAATGAATAATATAACTTACATTGGTTTCACTGTCTTTTGATTCCTTATAATGAATCAATTCAGAATCAAAAACTGCAATCTTGTCTTTTAGCCTTTGAATTAGCAGTTTCTGATGACGATTTTCGGCTTGAAACGCTGCTTCAGATTCTTCCATTTTTACAATAATCGACATTAAACGCTACAAAGTAATAAGCAAAAAAATTACTATTAATCAATCCAGGAAAATAATTTTAAACATTAAAAAAACAAAAAGGTAATTTTACATTAATCTCGTTTGTTGCTCGATTGACCATAACATTTTGTTCGGATTTCTGTAGTTCAAGTTGCTGAAGCCGTCGTTCAAGAATTATTTGCTGTGATAAATTTTCAATACTATTAGTCAAGAAGTTACTTTTACCAACTAATAAGGACTCTAGAATATTGAGATATTTACTTCATTTTTTGCATCTTTTAATTCGTCGGTATATTTTTTGATTTTGAATTCGAGGCTGTCACTAGAATATAATATTGAATCCCAATATTATACCAAATAATATATATTAAGCATTGTCTGTTTTTAACAACTTACATGTCAAATCCTTGAGTAACAATTTTGATTTCTCGCGATCTGTTTTGTTTAACTGTCTCGTTCTGTGCAAGTGCAGGGTTTTTTCGTAAATTTATAAATATGCATTTAAGAAAGACACACATACACACACACACACCTTTTCTCGATCTATCAATTCACATTTCCATTCAAGTAAGTCACAATGTTCACGTAGTTTCTTCTATTAAAGACACAAAAGTTATTCTCCAAATTCATAAAATTTAACTTTTCAATAGCAAATAATTATTTACATTTTCCGTCTCAAGATTTTGAATAACAATATTCAACTTGAAATTCTCTGTCTCGCAATCAACCTATAAAATACATATTTATTTATGCGTTCATTATAAATAGCAAACAAAATCTTAACTTACCCCATGTTCTAAAGAAATGAATGAATCGTTTATCATTAGTTAAAGAAATTAACGAGGAATAAAGAGTTAATGAACGGACGGACTGAGGATGAATAAATAATGCTTTTATAAAGTCGGAGAAGAAAGACTTTATCGTTATTTGAGTGTGCACCCTTTTACGTAATCTAATAAAGATAAATCTACATGCTTAGCGTTAATACCGATACTATGCATGTACTGTTGGCATAGAAAGAAAGATTAGATTATGATCCGTAATTGGCTGAAAATTGTTTCCGATATTTTTTCTTGATACATGTGCTATAATTTAAATGTACATGTATCAGTTTAGTATCGTATGCTTTGCGAATGTCCTTATTTTTTTATGATTGGCATCATGAACACGCCATTAAATTACCATTATTAGCTAACGTTAATAATGTCAATCGCAATCCTTTCAACACGGCGTGCTACTTTATGTTACTCAATTCAAATTAAATACATCAGTGCATCGTTGAAGGAAGAAAGCGTATCGGTATTACATGTACATGTATTATCGTTATCGATGACCATATATATGTACATGTACGTACGTATTTGCCTTTGTGGTTGTATTACATGTTACGTATCGGTACATGTACGTACATGTATAAGTAAAATTTCGGACTTGTATATTTAATGAGCAAAAATTTTTTCAATTTTGAAAATTCCTTAGTTTGCTAATCTTTTATCGATTTCTGAATTTCTGTGACGACTGTTTTTTTTTTGAGTTTACATCAAAAATATTTTTTGTTATCGTTATTGAACTTGCATAACGAGAATATTTTAACAGAACTGCTTGTATCGTAAACTCTTCAGATTCTTTGATAGAATTTGCTAAGTTTATTGATACATAACAGAAATTTCCAGTTGCGATTTTGTTCGATTTAATTTGAATCTGCATTCACGTTCACAGTAAATCAAATAATTTACTGTATTTCAGGCAAAATCAACTTAAATTAAATGTGTTAGAAGAAATTACGGTGTGTAAAGAAAACTTTAACATACGGTAAAGATTCAATTATGCTAAAATGTGACTTTTCATGATTCAATCCCAATAGAGCTCAGCACGGCCATATAAACAATAAAATGTTGTGCTATTAAAACTATTAACGTTGAATCTGTCTTGTATGAGTTTGATCGTATAATGTAAATTCATGCCAGTGTCGCAAAATGATGAATAATTTGATTAAAAGAAAAAATATTTTAACTCCTATACAAATTAATGTGTTCAGTGAAGTACGTACAGCCAAAGTTACGTTTTTGATGGATCTGCAGGTACCCTTGATTATGATGCTTCTGCGCAGTAAAGCAACTCCCCCGCGTAACCACCAAAAAAATTCGAACATGTGACTTAATTTGGCTTATGTATTAGAAACACATGATACATGTATATGTGGCTTATGATCACAAGCACATGACTGATTAATCTTTAATCCTCCGATCCTAAGAGTGTTACAACTCCAAGCTCGGAGTCATATATACAATGGTGATTTTATTTAATTTATCTGATAAAAATAAATAAATTAGCAATTCTATCAATAAGATTTTTTATATTCATAATATATATATATATAAATGATCTTTAGATCACCAATAAAGTCAAAATTGAATTGGTTTCAATTATTCTTCAATTAAACTAAAGCTGTAAAAATATCCTAAGAATTTAAGGCTTTTGAACTAGAAAAAGCATCATATAAATTAATATTATAATTAAAATTGGACATCCAAATCACAATTCTCAAATTAACTTATCAAGATCTGAATTATTTTCCTCTCTTTTATAGCCAATACTCAATAAATCTACCTGAATTTAGAACACAAACCAGAGGACCAAATTATAATAAGAGAAGAGATAAATCTAATGCATGTATTGATATTATTTATTAGATTAGATTTTAAAAGATAATTATTTGCATTTGGTTATTTTGCTACTGATATTAATTTGGTCATTGATTATGTTTTATCATTGATTGATTTCTCAGTTTTTACTTAATTGGTAATAATCAATTATTAGCATTATTCAGAGAAGTAGATTAATTATATCAAGATGCATTATTTTGACTATTTTGATTAGATACACAATCTATTTTATTGATCTGCTTGTCTAATATATAATTCTCGATGTATATAATGAGAATTATTATTCAGTAATAAATTATAAGAGCTTTATTTATTTGGTTTACAGTTTTACAGATAGATAAATATAATATCTATATATAATAAATATATATATTAATAATCTATTTTTTCATTATTTTCAAGAACTTCATTTAAATGATCTAATATTAAATTTACTAAATTAAGACATATATCAAGTGAAATATTCTCTTATTTCTTCCTAATTAAATTATGCCAATGCTCAATGCTAATTATTTTTTCTTTTCTAACTATTTTATTAACATATTTTTTAACTCTCTTTTTAATGATTTTCTATTGAATTAAGATCAAGACTATAAGATGACCAATCGAGAATCTTTAGAACTTGATGACAAAGAAGTTCTTTTATTTTTATAGTCTGATGCTTTGGATTATTATCTTGCTGAAAGATCTAATATTCTTTTATGATTCTATATATATTTTTGAAGAGATGGTTAATTAAAATTTCACAATAAAGTTCCTCATTCATATTTTGAGTAAATATATTGTTATAATAGTAACATAAAAATCACAAATTCAAAAATAATTGAAAAACATAAAAAATTCCAAAAATATTCATATAACGATAAAATTTCCTAATATTATTTTACTTTTTATTATTTCACTATTTATTATTTCATTTATTATTTTTCACTTTTTATTTTTCACTTTTCAGAAATTTCACTTTTTATTTTTCACTTTTTAATTATTTCACTTTTTATTTTTCACTTTTACATATATTATTTCACTTTTATTATTTCA